AATCCCTGATGTGCGTACTCAGTGCCACACATAAAGCAAAGTCTCATGAAAAACTGGCATTTAATAGAAGCACAACCACTACTGAGCGAACTATACAAAAATCCACCGCTCGTATCTTACAAAAGAGGGCGGTCGCTCAAATACATACTCGCGAGGGCTAAACTTTGAATAGGCTACTCTAAACACACGCTGAGGAGTCGTGTAGGCCTGTCAACCCCATTTTACGGCACCATCTTCCTCTTCGCTACTGGAGACAACTTCGCTTCGTTCAGAAGAAGATTCACTTGACAAAACTTCAATATCTGCCATCTCCTTCGCCCACGAATACAAACAAACCGTGAGTGAAATAAACCACGCTATCGGAGTGAACACAACCAGTGACGTCATCAATCCATTTCGCTCGGTACCAGAGCCCGGACATGGTTTTGTCTAAAATTTTTGATTTGAACGGTTAAAAAAGATATCTTTCGCCTCTTTTTGGCCAAAGCAAATTATCTCATGATGATCAGCGTATTCAAAACTACAGTTTAGAGCAAAATTTTCAGATACGAAAATTTCGTTTCAGTAGCACTTTAAATAATTATTGTTCCTTATTCTAACTTAGGTAATGCCATGTACTACTTATGGAAGTACCTTATAATGTTGTTGTTGTTGTTGCTGTTCATAGAATTTGAGATTTTGTTTAGAAAGCGAAATTATCGATTGGAATACGGCCGAACGCTGAATACGAATTGAGTGTGCAAACAGATACTTTGAAATCTAGGAGAATAACAAATTTCCCGCCTTTGCGAGCTAGTTTGGACCATCTGAGAGTTAATCGACCGTAACATATAACTTTCCTCTCCGTTTCCGGTGTTTTCACATCCTCCTTTTGACAGGTTTCGTGGAGGTGTCTCTATGTTGTAGTTGTGATCGGCCATCCGTCAAAAGGAGGCATCTGTAATATAGGCTAGCAACGAAAAAAAATGCAAATATATCTTAACGCAAATACGAAGTCAGAACCAAAAACGAAGTACATGTTCGTTTCTACTCTGTTGTGGGGGTCTAAAATGCTAAATAGGGCCTTCATCACGAAGACAACATCGGGGGAGCTCGGATTTCGTAATCGGAAATCTGCCCGAGATTCAGATGACCTCCTTCTGACAGATTTCGGAGTGCGCTTTCCCGTCAGCTGAGGCTGACTGACTGTAATTGACCATGATTCCTTGCGATCTTCACCCGCGAAGTTCGCTCCGAGCATGCAACGCGCGAGAGCGAATCCATCGAGGAGTGTAATTTCTGCGATTTCCTAGCTGAGGAATTGTTTGCAGCACAATCTTCCACCATCTGTGCTTGTTCCTCTGCATCCTTCCACAATGGAGGTGGAATACAGCATAGGAGTGAATAATCGCTTCTTAGCGTTAGGACTGGATGATGAAGATCCTGAGGAGACCTTGCTAAAGCAGGAGAAAAAGGAGGAGCCGTCCAAGAAGGAGAAGGCGAAAAAACAAGACAAGAAAGCTGCAAAACAGCCAGTCAAAGAAACGAAGCCTGCCGCAGGGAGAAAGGACAATGTAAACGAAGAGCCCAAGAAAGAAGGTTTGTATCAGCATGTTCTCGTCGAAATGTCTAATGTGCAAGTTGTACCGTGACGCCATCGTCTTGTCAGATAGCATGTGGAACCTTCTTCTCTGTTTTCAGCTGACATTGCTGTGTAGTTTTTCCAGAATTCTTTTTTGGTTTTCCATGGGTTTTCTACAATGAATGTCTTTAAAGGAATTACTCACCGTGTACAGCCCTTTTTCGTGGTAATGGTCACATGTTTTTGTTCCAAAGCGACGAAAGGTACGCCAAATTTTCCATGCAGGGCTAGTGCGGTGGGTAAACTGCGAAATTTGTTGCACTGAAATGAAGACGACTTGAAATCCCCTAGTGATAAGAAATTGTCAGTATCTCATTGTAATGAGTATTTTATGTTTTTTATCAGACTTAATAGTAACAAAGTGGAAAATATAATCTGTTTGAGGCACGTGTTGTTTTGTTAGGCTTGTGGTGGGCTTTATTTATGAGTTAACACATAATTTTGAGGCAGAGATTCGATTGCTTCGACTTAGCGGAGATGTTTAATGCAAATGAAAGAAGGGTTTATTCGGTGCTTATATATTCTATTTTTTTGCAGAAAGAACAGATAGCAGGCGTGGTGGTCGCGGCAAAAGCGATGTAAGGAGAGAAAACGAAAAAAACACTCGTTTGACAAACGGTCCGAGCGAGAGAAGAGACCGAGATGACAACGCTTCAAGAGAGAGGCGAGGTGGTGGATTCGGCGGCGGATTCCGAAGGAGAGATGGTCCTCAGGGTGATGCTGACTCTCCTGATAAAGAGGCAGCCGAAAGGGAAAGAGGAGGCTTCGAAAGGGGAAGAGGTGGCCGTGGATCGCGGGGTGGAGGTGGAAGAGGTCGTGGGGGATTCGGTCCCCGTGGTGGCGGTGGTGGTGGTGGTTTTGGCAGGAAGCGAGAGTTCGAAAGAAGAAGTGGAAGCGACCGCTCGTAAGTTTGTGTTGTGAATGTTTCCTTTGAATCATATTTAACTCGAAAAGGAAATTTATTCAGAATTGAAAGTTATGTTCTCGACATTACGTTCTTGCCGACTTAAATTGTACTTTTTGAAGTACTTCAAATTTCCTATTCATCTAATATATGTTGTACAGTAGCTTCAAGAGTACAGAATCCTTCAGGTTCAAACAGTGTCATTTTAAGGGAGTTTTTAATGTTTAACCATCTAGAAAGGGGGGTCCTGTTATTTTCAGAAGTGCCAAGGGTTGCTTGCTTGTTGAACTTTAGATAGATTTCATGAATGTGTCACAAAAATAACATCTGTGAGTAAAATCTTAAATAACAGGGTTGCCTTATTTCCTTTCTCTCTTAATTTTAACGATCTAATCCTAAATTCATTTTGTGGGATACCTCTCTTTTCTCTGGAGAAGTAATTATATGTGTGAAAGAAAATATGTCCTCTTCTTGTGGTCTAGGGCCCCCCGACTGGACAAATCAAGTCGCGGGGACAGAAGGTTGGACAAACATTCTCCTTTCAATTGCTCCTAGATAATAAATGTAAATCTTTTCTTCTTGGTTATATTGTGGAAACTAAATGTGTGAACCTGGAGTTGTTGAAACATAATAAAAAGCAGTTGATATTCAGGTGGCACACATGAAAACCCACAATTACGTAAGAAATGGAAAAGGGTCTTGCTTAGTGTGATATTGCTACATAAATTTGAGTGTGGTTTTTTTTTTTTTCCATGTTCATTCTAACTCATCTAGCTTTGGAGACTGCACTTTCTATTGTGTTAGCGGCAGAGTAACCCACATGGAATGTTGGGAGAACACAACAAAAGTTTGTAGATTACTTGCCTCTGGCTTGTTATCTACAAACTTTTGAGTGTTCTTCTAATAGTCCAAGTGGGTTATTATGCTAGTAAAGTAATAATGAGAGTGGTCCATCCCTTTTGTAAAAATTAACTTTAATTTCTGTGGGTTTGCCTTGGCAAAAAACATGTTTTTGATCAATCAGGAGCTCTCAGTGCCTTACTTATTTGATAATGGTTACCGTAAACGTCCATGTACAGTGGAACCCCTCTAAACCGGAATCGTCTCTATACTGAACCTTTTTTTTTTTTTTGGGCCCCAAAATCTGTCATAAATTTTCTCTATTTTTAACCTCAATAAACTGGAACTCCTCACTTTTGGAAACCGGACGCTTTTTTCAGTCTGTAATCACATACTGACAAAGAAATTGACCTCATTAAACCGGACGTGAAAGTTTTAAGCTTGCCTGCAAAATCTAGAGTACTAGAGGGGCATTATTCTGTGTGTCCTCACTAAATGATCAAATTTGAAAATATGGCATCTGTGTGGCTGACCCTCAAAATTTTCAGGTCAGATTTTTTGTTCATTTGCGATTAAGTTAGACCTTGGGGAACTCAGAATGTAAAGCAGCAATGCTATAGAATACTCTGCTTGGAAAATAATGGATATCAAGGTCTCAAAGATGACAATAAGCGCTCAAGTCAACGACACTACAATTCTCTAAGGCAATGCGAATTATGGACGTAAAGTGAAAACTGAACTTTCGGACTTCAAGCAGGGCCTAGCGACAATTTGATGATTCGATGGCCTGGTGAATATTATGTCCAAGTAACAATGTGTTCAAAAAGTATTGTTTCATAAAAGATTTTGCGTCAAATCGAAGTTTTTTCAGAATTTTCAACATAATGCTGTGCAATTTTCTGGCCTTGAAGGCAAGTAAACAATGATCTAAGCATGATGAATTTTACCGCGTGGGCTTTGTACACATAAGAAATTCATATGTTTTTCGCATATAACAGTAAATCAAAAACTGTTTTGAATTAATCTGTCATCCCAAAATATTTCTTGATCATTTTCATCTTGCTTCCTATTGATAGATTCCATGGAACTTGAGATCTCTTCACTCACAGACAAATTTGCATGTTCACTTTTGAAATATGATCCACATGCCCATTTGCACACGTGTGAAAATATTTAGTGATTTTTATCTTTCATCTTGATTTTTGAGTAAAATTAAGACGCACCTATCGCTTTTTTCGTCGGAAATAAGTTCTTTAATTAGTGTTCTTTCTCTGGAGCTTGTTTTTTTTGGAAAAGATGATTTTTAAAAATTTACAGCGCATTGTTTGCTTTCTTGGTTTCTCCAAAATTGTGACTTTTCGTAGGCACGTGTGACACATAGGTGTCAATGGGTTAAATTTATGATAATATTTTTTATCCATAGCATTTGGTAACTATTACTTAGTTGTGCATTTTGATCCATTTCTGTACAAGCAAGGCTACCTTCTTGTAATAAATTAAGTTATCAACAGCTTCCTCTTGTGTATTGTTTCTGTTAGAATTATGGCAGCTCCTTGTTGGCTCTCAACTTTTTCCTGTTGGTAAGCTGTAGTATTGGAACTTAGTTGTAGACCTCTATTCATGTGAGATTTCTCTTTGCTGTTTTTAGTTCAGTGAAGCCTCATGAAAAACGCGATGGAGGTGGCCAGTTTAACTGGGGAAGTCCTACAGAAGGTGCAAGGTAAGTTATGAAAGGAAGTATTCTTGAATCTTATTGAAGACAAGAACTGTATATATTGGTTGAGGGTTTTCATGGCTATGTGGACCACATTTATTCTGTTTGTCCATGGTCCAAGACACCCATGGAAATTAATTGTATATTATGTGAGATGGGAGGGATCTTGACTGGTCTTGGACAGTTAGGGTTAGCTTGTATGACCCTGTACACACTTTTATTGAAAAACATCAATATGTGAATATCCCCTTGTGAGAGTTATACACAGTGGAGCAAGCAGGGCTGGAAAAGGGTTTACCACTTTGTGCATGGTCTTGCAAGATGTTAGCTGATAGAAGAAAGGAAGAAAGATAAAGAGTGAGAATGGTATAATAATGCTTTTTTGGCTTAGTTGAGTCAGGGTGAATGGTTAAAGGCTCAGCTGCTGCTTTGTCATCTTTACCCATCTGTGTTTCTTGACCATAAGCCAAGTTTTATCCCTGGCACTTCCTCTCAGGGAATAAGTGCAACTTGTTTTTCCTTGCAGTGAAGAGACAGATGTTTTTCCTCAGAGTGAAGTGACAGATTGGGCTGAGGCTTCTCCTGATCCAGATGCTGTGAAAGAGAAAACAGAAGAGTGAGTTGAATTTATAAAAAAAAAAATGTAGTAGAGTTTTTAAGAGTCTTTAGATGTGGCCACCAGGCGCGTAGCATGGTCATACGCATAAGTACATGATCTAGAAACCTAAGTAAACTGAGTGAAAAATACTGGGTTCTTTATTTCTTGTTTAAAGTAGTTGTGTGAATACAAGCAAAGAACAAACCGTCTTGCCCTTATTTAGAGCAAACTTGGTGCAAACACAACATTGTTTTCAAATTTTTCTGGTCACTTCAAGTATACATGTGCGTATATGCATAGAGGACGCTATGTGCCTGGGCACTTGTGAATTTAAGTTCCTCTGTCTCATACTAAACCATTCCTTTGGCCTTTCACTGATACCTTTCAACAATATTTCAGTGCTTAATTAATGCTGTACTTTCTGATATAAAATAGTTGCTACTCTTTAGTGATAGTAGTCTGAACACTTAACATTTGTAATCCTTTGTATTGGCTCCTAAGGGAAATAAGTTTTCCTTGTTTTAAGTTTGATACCTTGAACCCTTCAACTCTCAGGACATAACCTTGAGCAATTTCCCCTAACAATATCAGCATATGAAAAAGATAAGTGATAAGAACTACTTACAATATCAGTTGGGCAATTGTTAGTGGATCCAATACCAAAATCTCCAAACTAACATGAGAACTGTATGGCAGACAGTAAAGAGAATTATTTATGAGATCTGGGAGTGATAGGGTTAAGACCAACCTAAAAACCTACAGACACAATAAGTTGTTGTGCAAAAATGTAATAATCAACACTTTATTTAGGGCTCAAGGAGAAGATAAAGAAAATGAAGAAAGTAAAGCAGAAGAGGTTCCAAAGGAAATGAGTCTAGAAGAGTGGAAGGAGTTACAAGAAAAGGAAAGAGCTAAGGCGACTTTTGAACTTCGCAAAGCTGGTGAAGGGGAGAAAAAAGGAATGTGGAAAGATACAAAAGTTCTCAAAAAGCCTGTTGAGGAAGAGGGAGAGTTTGGAGCCAGAAGAGTAAGTCAACATAACTTATCCTACTGTAGGTTGGAGAAATTGAGAGTGGTTGAAGGAATAAACAAATGTTAGAGAGATTGAGAGAGAATTTGTTCACTTCATGCTTGGGTTAGTCATTTTGTTTTGTTTTTCATGAATATGAATCTTATTTACCAATTAAAACTAAAAAAAGTTGTTACATCAGGAAAATCAACTTATGAGGGTAGATCTTGGTAATTGAATATGTACACTGGAAAACTGTCTCCTCAAGAACTAATAACTATTTTCATCTCTAAAATTCTACAAAACAACTAAGCCTTTTTTATTGTAATAATAATAGTAATATAATCATAATAATTAAAATAACATTTTATTAAAAATCATCAGAAATATTTACAAACTTATGATAAAAACCTTAAAAGATCTAAGGGAAAAAAGAGGCTTTGTTTGAATTCTAAAATCTTGCTAGTTCCTTATCAATTTTAAAACTTTCTCTGAAATTTTCAGCAGAACTCTTTGCAAACATCATGAGCCTCTCTAGTTTAGTCATTGCAACCTGAGTGTTTTACAGCAGCAGATGGCCACTTTCTTGGAAAACATTGTTGCAACAGTTCTTGTTATCTTGTAGGTTATTGAGGTCAAAGAAAAGACATCTGGTCGTGTCAAACAAACCATTGACATACGTGTAGATTTCAAAATGAATAATGAACCAAGGAGGGGAGGCCGTGGTGGCAATCGTGGAGGAAGAGGTGATAGAGGGGGTCGTGGTGGCCGTGGAGGAAGAGGAAGAGGAGGTGGAGGGCGTGCAGGGTTTAGTAGTCGTGGAGATTCCAGTGAAAGTGGTACAAACTTTGATTTGACTGCAGAAGAAGAATTTCCTACTCTTGGCTAACAAGCTGCCTGTTGATAACCGTTTGTTCCTTTATTGAATGCTGCACACATTAAAAAATAAGGAATAAACTTCGCTTGATGTAATTGACCAAAGAGAAGACAGTTTCTCAGTAGTTACCTCTCTATTATCAGAGGTCTTGAAAAAAAGACAATCTTATTAAATGAACAAGTGCCATTAGGAGATGCACTTGACAAGTCTAGGGATACAGTTCATTATACTGCTCTGTAATGTTGGGTAATGTCACCATCTTAAACAATTTGCTTCAGACTTGCTAATTTAAAATGCTACAAACAATAAAATCTGATGAGTGTCGGAAAAAAAAATCATTCTTTCCCATCGTCTATTTCCATGCATCAACTTATGCCCCAGTTTTCTTGCCATACACAGTGTTGATACCTTAACTTGTTAAGAAGGTGAAAGTCGACATGTTTTTGGGATTGAAAATTTTTTTTAACCCTTTTGACCTCAGTGACCAGTGTATAATTTCTCCCCACAATATCGTCCCACAAATCGCACATTTAGATCAAGAGAATAAAAAAAATGATGAACAACTACAGAAGCTCTAGATTGTTAAAAAAAAAATTCCATGTTATTACTGTAGGAAATGTAAAGAGAAAAGGTGGAGGGTAAGCATACTGATGTTAGGGAGTAAAGGGTTTGAACGAGAGTAAAATTGGACACCTGATAGTCCCACTATACTATTTTTAGGTGATTCGAATGTCAATCTGGAATATCTTAACTTTGTTGTTTTTTTCATAATTTATTGAAGTGCCCCTGTTTCATTTTGCAATAGTTTATGGCTAATGCTTAAGTTTGAAATGTAGTGATTTGTTCTCTGTACAATTTGTAGGTTCATGTATATGTTGCAGATTTCTTTTTATCTCTGGTGATTAGTAAGATAAACCATTATAGCTGCTGCTAGGGTGTAATAAAAATTGGGAAGAAGACGTGGGTCATTTTATGTGAACTTTGGGTAAAAAGCATAACGGGATTAAAAATATTGTGTAATATGTTTACAATGTACGCTCGTAGTATTCCTGGTTTCCTGATCTCAAATCCCACTATAGTGAGTAAGAATTACTGAACTCAGGAATTATCAGCAAGGATATACTGCAATAAAACAAGAAGTTGACAAATTACATATGCAAAGATTTATATTCATGGTTTCTCAGTTGCCACTAAATTTGTGCTTTTTTTGGGAAATTTTTCATTTTCTTGCATTACTGGAACATGATGATAAATTAAACATGTCAAGTTCATCTAGTCCATTGTTTTTGGTCGGTCTTGTAGTCTTTCAGTTACTCAAACTTTACATACGTCTTAGCCCCATACCATACTTAATTTTGGCCCCTTAAGTTCATTTTGTCTACTTTTTCTATCAATAACTAAAGGGGTTGTGCCCTTTTATCTTAAAGTAGCTCTCTCGACCCTTGAAATCTAATGCACTGAAAATCAATAGTCTTGATGTCTATTACTTCATCCATTTGAGTACTGAGATTTGGTGTTCAAAAATATTCCCCAGTTGATAAGTTGCTTCTTTACCTTGGCAAGAACTATGAACATTGGCAATAAATTATATTGGTCATCAATGGAGTAAAAAGTTTGGCTGAAAAATGATGAATAATCAGAGCAACTTCTGGAATAAAGATAAGACTGGGTTGTTCAAAGCTATGATTTTGGAACTAAAAGCTGTAAAAGAAAATCCAGTGTAATTTCTTATGTCAACAATGTAGTGAAAGGATGCTCTTAAGAGACTAGAGGAAATTATCCCTGGATTAAAATTTAAGCTTGGGTTAGCACTACTTGGTCATCAAACAACTCAGTGGGCCCAGGATGAAAGTGTGTGTGATGGTTAACCTTTTCACTCCCAGATTTCATCATATATTCTCCTTAGTGTCTGTTCTACAATCCTTATGATGTTCTGTCTGGAGGTTTGTTATTGGATTGGCTGATAATCCCTTAATTGATTCTTTTCTCAATTCATCTCCTTGTCTGCACGATAATGTACTGATAAGGAAATGAAAAATTCTGTCTTGTGCAAATTTGAAGGGTTAAGTGGATGCAGCTAAACTACTAAATGCTCCTTCCAAATTGCCTTGTGCTCCTTGGTAAAACAGCAGGTAGAAGTAAATTTTCTTCAAAAGTACCTTGATAGGGTTTCAATATGTGCACCCTTTCAGTTTATGTAAAAGAGTCCTTGAAAGAGAGCATCTATGTTAAAAAGCAGTAATACTTTACCATTTATAATTATGTTAGGGATTTGTTGAGTTTTGCATTATGAGTAACAAATCTACATGTTTAATAGAAGTGAAAAGTTCCTAAAGATACTGTTGTGCTGTGTTGGTGAGAGGTGCATTGCAGGGTATCAGAATAGATAATTTGGTTTTATCAACTGAGTTCACTTTAATAATGTAAATTGACCACTGTAGAGAGGTTGTAGGGTTAGCGTTTTCAGCATTAACCCTTTGTCAGAGCACACCTTTGCTGACTGACTTTTTTGTGCCATGATACAGCCTTTTTACAAGCACCTAAACTTGTAAACAATTACCAACAAAATTCTTGTACAGGATTTAAAACATTGGGAACAAGGCCAAGAAATAACTTCCACTTCTATATTTTCAAATTTATTTACAAGTCTCAATAGGTATTTTACATTTTAAAATATTAACTTATTCTTTAAAGTTGGCTATATACAAAACTTTACTCAAAAGAGGAATCATGTACATAGTTTGTTATCTATGGCTCAAATGAAAATTAAAAAGTTTTAATTTGAGCTAGTTAGAAAGTGTTCAAAAGACTCAACCTTCAAATTTCAGTAACCACATGTTTAGTGCAGTTGCCATTAAATAAGAAAAAAAATTGAACACAAATTTCTTTTATGTACAAAATGCTGCAGTGGCAATGTTGAACAAGAAGATTCTTTTTTAAGCTTTGCAAATTTTCCAAATGCAAGCTTTTGTCAATCATAACAATAATTTACAGAAAAAGAAAAGCAGTCAATTTTCCTTGTTAGAAATTAGAAAGGAAAATTGTTGATGACTATTTTTAGTCTGAGGTTGAACAATTTGGGAGGGCATCAGAAAAATATACCAACACCTGTGAGCAATTTCCCACTGCAGTTTTAAAGAATGTCTTTGGAAAAAGTAAAGACTTAAAAAATATGGAATTTACAGGGCTTTACATATGTATAGGGGAAGGAAAACCAAGTCTTTGCCTCACAGTGGTGATATTAACATGCTGACTAAGTGGTAGTTCATCTATACTGTGCAATACTGACTAAAAAGGCTATTGTAAAGCTTTAATATTTACTCAATATAGAAAAGTTGAACACTGATAGTAACTATAAAAGATTTGTGATGAATTCTTCTTGTGTAACCATAGCCTTTGGCATGCAGTTACAAAATACAAGCTACCAGTAGGGTATAGTAATTACCAAGTTTGAGGATCCCAGTGGAAACTGCCTTGGCAAGTTGGGTTCCCTCATTAAATATTATTATTATTAATAATCAATAATCCCATTGTGCTAACAACAAAATTGAACTGGATTCACATATTCAAAATTGAAGCTGGTAGGCAAAGGACCTCACTTTGATTTCACTCTGGACCCAGCTCTCCAGGTGCAGTTTGACTAAAACATGATCTAGTAATAGCAGATGGGTTGAACCTATAAAAGACTGACTTCTTCTTTCACATTGATACATAATTTGTCTGAGAGCATTTGAATAAAATGTAGCATTGGAGTAAAGAGAGAATGAGAACAAGATTTTTCCATCTGTACAACATTTGAAATGTCTAAAGACAAAGAAAATCACCTAAATGAAAAATATACAGCTCCCATTTGATGAAAACATTGTCAACCATGAGTAAAAGAAATGAACATGGATTTTTTTTTAAGAGTAAGTATGGGAAGGAAATAAGAAAATGAGAATAACTCAAAAATTAACAAACAAAACGAAACCACAGAAACATTGTATTGGCCATGTTTCTTTGAACATGAAATGGTGTTACCATAAAAACTTTCAAAAAATTACTAAATGAAACCTTAATTAAGTTACTATCAGAAAGTGAATTACTTTCTTGAATCCTCTGGCAAACACCAGACTGATTTACAGAAACAGGGATGCATTTACTAAATTAGCCCCATGTTTTTGTAAAAAGAGGCATTAGAAAAAATGTCTATCATTTGTCTCTTCAAAGACATAATTACATTGCTATTATTCTGTTGATGCTTCATAGTACGTTGAGAGTAAAGCTGCCTCTACAGGTTCCATACACGATGGACAGGTGAATGATCTCACAAGCCAATCCTCTATACAGTCTTTGTGATAAATGTGCATGCAGGGAAGAAACCGTATTGGATCACCCATAGCAAAGTCTGTCATGCAAATAACACACCTGTTTGAAAGAAAGTAAAGTCACACTTTAAGCATAAATTTTCTTCATCACAGACATCATAAATTTGCCTTTGTCATGCTTAAATGTCTGAACTAAATTATACTGTGGATTTTAATTTGTAGATTGTAAGAATATATTGCAGCAAATTTATGGGCAAGTTTAATCAGTGCCTATGCTTGAACACTCATCTCAGTGACTGGTAAAATATGGTATTAGAATTACTTGTTCAAAATTAGTGTTCGAAAGTTCAGTTTCGCGACTGATGACAATTTCTTGCACCCCACAAGGATAGTTTCCCACAGATTGCTTAATGGCTACCCTAGTTAAGAAAGACTCATAAGACAGTGTGCCTACTCATGGTTTGTGTTTCTATATTACCAATCAAAAACTTGGAATAAAGAGGTCTCCAAGAGCCCATTTTGATGTGTTGTTCCATTTGGATGTAAGTAGTTCAACGACAATCACAATATCGTTTCTAAAATATATTGATCACCAAAAAATCCTTTATACGTGCATGAACGTGACATACAATGCATATTGTCATGTGAAGAACACAAGCCACGGTCAGAAGCTCTTGACCTGGAATTGTGCAAGTTCCAGTGATGAAAAAAAATGTTTCTCCTTTTGAAAAAAGTAACTAATTTGTGCTTTTGGGTCTTCCATTGCATTGAACCTCAGACGCTTAGTCGTGTTCTGTGGTTCCCCAACCGATCAAATATTACACATCAATTCAGTTAGAAACTGCTTCTGTAAAATATTAATACCTGACATTAATTCAAAACTTTTTACATGTAATGCAAATGAACATAATCGTATGGTGAACAAACACAAGGCAGGCCAGTCACAAGGCAGGCCAGTCACTTAAAAAACACTCAACATTCAAACATAATTCTGCTGTGGTTTCAATGCATTCCAAGTTAAAACAACATCGCTAATTCACAGCGAGGAAAAATATTCAACAAAAGTCGAATAGGTGAAACTCTTGGTCCGCCAAATTCATTCATCAATACGGAGATTTCCAGGTAATGCAATTTGTTTCTTTGTAAGAAAGTGACCAAAAGCTGCCAGCCTAAGAAGATAAGGAACCAAAGACCCTCTTGTTACCGGAAGTGATGTGAGCAGAGTGAACAATAGACCAAAGTTCTTTCATGAAGATCGCTTGTATTTATCGTAGTTCTTCTTGGAAAAAAAAAGCCCGGAATGGAAACGAAACTAAAAGTGCAATAGTTGACATTAATTAAAATTCTCAAGCAGGCTATGGAATAAACAATATATTGGCTTTTCTTGAAGGAACATGTTCCCCTCAGCGAAATCAACAGACCGCTTCCTCAATCACATGTATTTATGAAATAAAGTGAAAGAACAAACAAAGCAAAATTCTGATGTTGGTGTTGTAAGTGCTCCAACATCATGTTAGCAAAGAAACATTCCAGTGTAACGAAGCTTGCTCGAGGAAAATATTCCTAGCATGTTGTGGCCCAATAAACAACCTAAGCGAGCGTTCTGAATAAAATATTCATCGCATTTCACTTACTTGAATAATATTTTGCTAAAAATCTACATCCTTTTAAGTCAGTATTTAAAATACCTTGGAGGTATCCTTTCTTAGCGCAAATTATTTGAAAAAAAAAAGTGATTTAACATACTCTCTCTTTTTCCCTTTCGATCCATCGTATTTTCCGACTGGAAGATGTTGTATCAGGCCTAAACGCTGGGCTAAACGAATCTGCTGTTCTTCAGACAGTAGATGAGGAGCGTGTTGACTTTGTATAAAGATTGGCGCTTCCTCCTGAAATGAAAAATGCCTTGAGTGACTTAAAATACTCGCTAAAGTAATCAAACGCGGCAATATGTGACAACGTTTTTCGACCTGATATGGCGGTGGTGGCTCGCCTGTTGTTGGTGAGTCTGCACTTTCTTCATCGTGTACAAGAGATATATCGTCTTGCCCAGAGCTTTTTAAACAGTTTCCCATTATGGGTTAAACTGAAGCTCCACAAATTCGAGGCAGATGACTGATTAAACTGAGGCGCTTACTAAACTCACACCGGCCAGCAACTGTCTGTTGAAAAATTATTCTCAAAACAAATGTCTTGCTGTCGTAACGTGACGTCATTCTTGAGTTTTTCCTTGATCGGAATACAATCGGAGGGTATTCGGCCTTTTCCGCTTCTGTTACTTGAACACGTACAAGATCATGACCTTAGGCTACAGGAACACTTTCGAAACAGTTAAAATAAGAAATCTTGCATTATAAACTTCCAGAAAAGGAAGTAATAAGAGTTTTGAATATATTTTCCCGAACTGAAGCATTTTTGCCCTGCTGTTTGTTGCGAAGTAGTCGGACAAGCCTGAAATTCGTGACAGACTCGGTACTAGTGCCCAAACTTCGCGTGGAAGTACTCCGGAGTGTGCGCAGTCTCGTGGAGCGCTTACTTCGAAATTGTGCCGCCATGTGTAAGTCCTTGAAATGACAGCTATCTGGAGTTAGGTTTGAACCCGAATAACAATTCTGCCTCAAGGATGTCTATAGCTGTGGGAAATAGCTCTCTTGGTTCTATGGTGACTCCGGAAGCGCTGGAAAATGCTGCAAAAGAAGTTGATAGGCAACTAGCTGCAGATCGACAATTTCCTGAGCTTTCGGAGCAGATCAGTGCTTCCCAGCAAAGTAAGTTTTTCCTCAAGTGGGTTCTTCTGGTCATTTTTCTTAGATTACTCCTGTAATATGAAATCTGTACTGCACACGGAACTTCGATTGTGTCTAAGTTAATTGGTACAGTTAATTTGTACTTTGATCTAACTTAATTAAGAACATTAACAACATTGAAAAGTTAATTGGGAAAGAGTTCCAGATAACCCCATACATTAATTATGCATTCATTTCATAAAGACTAAATATAAAGGTTTCTTTGCAACACTCTACGCATAATTAATGCGCGAGGTTATATGTGGTCTCCATCGCAGCCGTTTTTGTTTTGGATGTCACGCAACGCTCCCCCAAAAGAACGGCTGCTGACAACCGAACTACATTCCTTTCTCATTGTCCTTGCGGTTTGGTCGCGGTCTATTGAACAGACA